GTCGGAAAAGTCGGGAAGTACTTCCTGCAGTCTTTGAGGGCGTACTTGAGCAAAAAGTTAAGGCGACTGGCTTTTTTAAGGAGCAGGAAAGTATCCTTCAATTCTACCACATCGATCTATAGCTTATAAATCATCCTCTGTGCCTTTTTGTTTGATTCCTTCCACTGACGTTCCGCTGATTTATTTGTTGACATTTCCGATGAACCCCACTGCAATGCATGCGAAACCATTTGACGATTCTCGCCCAGGTTCCTGGAGCTTACACTAGAAAACAGCTATGGTGCGGGTTTAGAACTAGATACGTTAGCATTGAAGTGTTCCAAAATGTTCCAGATATGAAATGGATCAATTGGTTTTGCACACTGACGCGTGCTACATCAAAGCATGCTTCCGATAGAATGATAAATTTTTTCCTGATCGCCGATCCTCAAGAATCTGGTTCATAGATTGAATTGAAATCGGATCATGAGTATATGTGGAAAGGACAGCTCGTTGAGCCGCGCTTCGCCCACAGTGTAGATTTTTTGTTTCAATTGTTGACTAATTCTGTCTTTTAAGAACTCCCTCAGTGTCTCCGTTGTTCTGTAACCAAATAGGAAGTTCGGCTCTCTGTTTAACCCATTCCGATACTTCTATCACCACTTGTCTTCTATCGTCACTTCCGCGTGCTCATGTTAACTCTCCTGATCCTGGTCCTAGGCCCCTCCCAAGTTAAACATTCCAGTGACTAACTCATATGTACAGTATGAGACATTGTTAATGTGAAAAGACAGACGCGATTTCCTTATGTATGGTAAGTGACTGGGATGATTTCTTAGATGGTAAGTAACAATCATGATTCCGAAACCTTTTTGGACAAAACTATGAATGTTTGATCATAGCTCAACTCACATCGAGAGCAATACGCCCACTGCAACAGATTTAACAGCGTTCCTTTTTTATACCTTCCAGCCACTTTTTTCCAACCAGGCTTGTGAACGGGCTTTTAGACCCAGTATGGATGTATGTTCTTAGTTTCACTCAAGCTAACCCTTCCTCTATCAACAACCTTGAACCACTTTTGAATGATGGAACAATTTTTTTTAATGCACCACCCATATGAGGGCATGCATTGCTCACTCCGATTATTTTTCTGGCTTTCAGGCTTTGTTGGAACTGAGTTGTGGACTGCGGTTTACCGCGTTTATAGTCTAGGTAAATTTGGGTAGAATGTCATTCCTTACGAGTTTGTAAATCGGTACCAGAGCTGTTTGAAAGTGTTAGCAGTAGTTTTTATATCGGCTGAACCGTTTATAGCATTAGTGAAGCAACTTTTTCTTACACTGCACTTGACGAGTAAACCTCAGAAAAACTATTCTGTAAAGGAGAAGAAGCGTTGAGGAGAAACATATATTTTGTAAGGGAGAAGAAGCGTTGAGGAGAACTCATAAGAGACTCGGCTCTGAGCAGAACCAACCTGTATTCCATAACGGAAAAAATCCTCGCCCAACAGCTCAGCAACCATGGCGATGAAGGCTGCTCCTTTGAAATACACTATAGGGAGAATCGTTCCTGCGATATCCTCCGGACGCTCAACCTTCAAGCTAAGTGATCGCAGGGCAGGCCTATCCAACGTGAATGCTATTTCCATTACTTCAGTGGCGAAGTGATCTTTCTGAAAGAACGTTCTCATGTGACACTGTCTACTCATACTCACCAGTCTGTCTGTTTACCAGTTTGTTTACGCCTCTCGTTATTTCCTCCAATGAAATGTATTGCAGATATGTTGCTAAACCTTCATTCAACCATACCTCGTCCCACCACTTCATTGTTACAAGATCTCCGAACCACTGCAAATAATAAGGATAAAGGACTAAAGTGGTAAAGGAACCAGCGAGGTGTGTGGGCGTAGGGTCACGTCGATATTCACAATACGAACAAATTCTAGAACAACCAGTCTCAATTTTATTGCAGTTGCCTTTACCTCATTTTATTCGCCCTTCTTCCGAGATTAGTTCGATGGTGGGTCGCGTCGCCCCATCAATCATGAAAAGTAGCTTCTCACATCGTATCGACTCTTATTCATATGATGTGGGGTGCTCTAGGATTTCTAAGACTTGAGAAAATGACGAGCTCCGGTAGGGAAGTCGGTAAACTTTGATGAAGGACAGTTTTAGAACTTTTTTCCTCACGATCGCGAGTGGCCATAGGACGAGTGGCCTTAGGATCAGCTGTGAATTTGAAGAAGTAAGGGCTTCAAAATGCAGGAAGAGGAGAGTCTCTCAAACCGTTAATCGGATTTTCGCTAACGATGAAAGTATAGTGTGACCCATGTGAGTTCGTTCAATAAAAGGGTAGCCTCTCTTTGCGAGCACTGTTCACCATTCAGGGTGTACAATCCTAGTCAAATAAGAATGGAGGGAATATATCGTAGGTCAAAGGAGGGCTTGCACCTTGCGATGCGCCGTGCCGGATCGCACAACAAATGACACTGTGATTTTGACTGCCACAGATTGTTGATAGAACTTTTCAATGTTCGCTGACTGAGTGGACTGAGTGGATTAACCGAAGCGATACACACCCATGCCTGACGTGATTCATTTTTTAAAATCAAGAAAATGTTATATGCGCGTGCCCTTCACAATAATTGGTCGGAGATCTCAACCTACTCAAATACCCCACAAAAGTGCACACAAAACGGTTATTCTCAAACGGGAGACAGAGTCTGTTCTTCTGATACACCGTGCTCTTTACCCCTTACACTACTGATGGCTAGCCCAGCCTGCCCTCAGTAGTGTGAGGGGGTAGAGGGTTTTGATAATGGCTTTACACAGAGTTATACGAAATCTGGGGATGCGGGAGCCTTGATGGTCCGAAGAAATGGCGGGGGAGGGCAGGATTTCGTTGAATTTCAAAGTTGCAGATATAAAGACCACGTAAGCGGTTAGATCGAATCCCAAATCTAAGATTTTCTTCTACTCTCTATCCTTGAGATCTTTCGGATTGCTCGCTGTGGCCAAAAAAACATCTTCAACAAAAACTTGGAGTTAAACTCTAAAAGATCTTATTATTCCTTCTATTTTTCCTTTTTCCTATTTTTTTAAGTCCCACGTTTACTAATAGATTTGCGTTTTCGAACTGCATCCATGGATCCCTACTGTGATCCAAGCTAAGTAACCAGCGAACGGAACAAATGTGATTACATCTGTCACATCGCATAAGTTACCGTCGAACCTGCATCACCGCAAAGCCATCATTTTCCAGATTCCGCTTCAAACCGGCTTCGAATCGGGAAATTGCGTTCTAGAGTCTTCCCTAACGAATCGGCATCTTCGAGTGGCTCAACATTTTGTAAACATTTTGTGCCTTCAATCGTGTGCTAGTATGACGCTAGTTGTACGATGCAGTCAGAGTTAAAGAAACTTTTCCATTCGAAACATTTATATGTATGACCTAGGGATCAAAATAAACTCGCATCACGGAAACGCAATCAGCGTTTCGTGGCACCTCAAATGGAGGCCTGGATGTCGTTTGAATTTGCCCTCTATTAAGAATTTTCTGATAAATATGGAAACCAGAGCTACAAAATGAGTCCCAAAGAGAAGTCAGGCCTGCAGAAAATCCGTCTTAAGATAGTGTTCATTGGAAACGTTAGTCGAAATATTAGTACCAAACGTCAACTCGAGTTAGTGGTAGCGCTTTTTCTTCTCACGGAGAACGCCGATTTGTTTCCCAAATAGCCGGAGTGGTTGCAAAGTGTTATATCGACCTCATAAAGTAGAAAGCGTCTCTATTCGGCTAATGCTTACGCTCGTTGCACTTATACAAGAAGGAGTGCACGTAAATTGTGTGACTCTGTTTGATTTTCCAACATTGAGACGTATTTGACAGACGTTGCTCTCATACAGATGCCTGTGAGGAACTCGACATTGATGAGGCAGCTCAAAAATAAAGTGTGTGATTCAGAGATGATGTTTACATACAGCACACCAATTAGAAGCAACAAGATAACAAAAATGGAGCATATCCCAATAGCCGGAATAAGACGCTCACTAAGATAAGTGCCGCAAGAGACTCCACCGAAACGGAACAAAGCTGCCCAAGGGCATCGGCGGACAAAGAACAGACGTCGATGCGCACGTAACTCGCTTAAGGGGTAGGAGAATTTCCACTACACCACGTTTACGCTTGACACCGATGCTTCGACTGCGTATTTCCGATACACACTTTTCTCAGGTAGAATTTGAGCAACCACAACTCACTCATGCAGTTTTAGTTCCCACATTCATGGAAGTTTTACAGTGAAATTAAATAAATTGAATTCAGTCTGAGAGTCTTGGCATACACCCCGCAGCAAAGGACTATTGACTCCTTCTCCTTCGCGTTGCACATTTCGTTCTCGCAATCCGCACACAAATACTCTGAACTTGCAATTTTAGCCTTCGTCCTCAACGCACACCTCTCTTTCATTAACAGTGGGGGCTCTCCATTCGCCAGTTTCCATTCACTATTTCGATGATGCTTTTGTAAACGAGTTACTAAATTCTGAAGCGACAACATTCCAGTCGAGATCACATTCAGATCAAGCACGGCTCCCCATAGTTAAGGGAATCGCGCTTGAACTTGGAACGCTGAGCACGCTCAAGACATTGCCGCTTTCTTTCAAATTTTTCGTGGTTCCTGGCTGCCCTTAGTCTGTTCCGACAAAAAGAGAAAGCTGATTGGGCGACAGAGTTGAAAAACCATGTTTCGCACTTGTCGCAATACTCCTCGTCCTTTTCGAAAAGCCGCACTTAACCGTGTCTCTAGCCTTGCCTCACTTTGCAGTGCTTTCTCAAAAAGTACTGCATGCCGACAGTAAGCATCTTTAATTTGTGTGAAAACTTCGCGGCTACAATTAAACTCTGAAGAACTCAGCAGACCATGGAACCAGTACAGTGCTGAAGCTCGGATAACACTGTGCAGTAACCACAACACCCAAACTCAGAATAGTTTTGCATAGCTTTTTCTTTTTAATTGGGAAAAAAGGGCTAAAGAACCTGATGGGCAACTTCGTGTGCTACCGTCGTCGCTACCACATACTTGGACCTAAGAGGATAAATCGTGTGATCGTACAAGAGAGAAGCTTCCCTGGAAAAATAGTTGTTTGAAGAGCTTAGGTTGTCATCCTCTCTATTAACGAGCAGCTCACCTAAAAGTAATTAGTCCCCAATTCTCCATCGTTCCGACCAAAGAAAATCCAATCATATCTGGAATTTCAAGACACTGAACAACATCAGCAGTACCACCCACATGATTTTTAGATACTGTCTATCTTACCCAGTTTTGATAATGGAAATTCTGTATTGAAGTAATTTTCAAAAAAATCCAAGCATTCGATGCCTATTCTCAGTGCATACGAAGTCAAAAGAATTTTTCCTGGAGTTGTATATGTTCGAATCTAGGATATAAAAAATTATCCTGAGACTTCGAGCACAGAAAAATGAAAACTGCAAATAATGAGAACTTCAAAAGTTGTTTAAAACCAGAGAACTTTTTGTGGACTTTATTTCGCCCCGAAGGGTCGGAGGCGAAGGAAATCAAATGCTTGGTAGCAAAATGACAGTCTCAGTGATATCCAGCGCCAGCAGAAGGCGATAAACTTGTATCTACAGGAAAAATTTGCAGTGCTGACCTGCTTGCTTAATAAAGAATGCAACATCCCTAAAACACGTAACTCCAAAGAGTCTACCGCTTGTGATATGATTTGATATCGAGTTCGCCTTTTCAACTCTATTCATAGCGCACCATTCCTGTATAATAAAAGAATAAAGTCTCTCGCGTTGATCAATACCGTCTGAGAAATGCGCCTCCGACCTCGACTTAATGGTGTAGTGAGTGCGTATACGGCCTATACAATGACTCGCGGTGGCCAGCCGATGTGCAAGTCAATGCTTTTATCCTCGCAGACGAGCCTGGTACCAATTCACCGACCCCGGAGGGATGAAAGGCCTGGTTGGCCTAGGCGGGCATCGATCCGGGATCCGAACCCCTGGCCGTGCGTGTGATATAGTGCGCCAAATGCCATTACACCACCTCCGCCCCTTTTCGTATTGATAAATAGTAATAAGCAACGAACTTCACGGACCTTCACTCCTGGAGGTTCTCTGCGACCTTCGACATAATCGAACTCCACATAATCGAATTCGCCGATGGCAATGGTAAATAGATAACTTGACATAAAATCTGTTGTATCGAATCTAGTTGTGATCCAAGAAGTTTCCGGTCCTCTGTAATTTTCTTCCTTGTTGACAGTCGCGTCTGAGTGGGTAGTCGTAATTTTGAAAGCAATGTGTAGTACCACACTGTAGAAACAGGAAAATGGGGAGGCTACGGCTGGAGAACAAGCAGCATTGACAAGGCAGCAAAATTGAATGAAAATGGTGGCATCAGCATCAGAAGACATAAATACTGTAACAAGACGCCTGAGAGGTGCCAGACTCGACGAATGATTTTTGGCACCTCTCATCATTACGAAAAAATCGGAAGACTCGAATGGATTTCGCACGCCGCCGCTTCGCATGAACTTCGGAGGACTTCAGTTCTCAGATGCAAGTCAATTAATTTGAAGTTAAGTATGGTATAGAGTACGTGTGAAGCTCCTAGAAGAAAGTTTTACATCGAGCATACACGCAGGCATGATGGAAGATCGGTAATGGTCCATCGTGCCTTCTTGCAAGATGAAATCAGTGACGATCTGAGAGTGACAGCGCGATGACGGGCAGAACATACAGCAACATAATGCCTTCTCATGTTACAACGTGGACGTGGCACAATAGCCCACTGACGCCTTTTGCAGCGCAACAGTGATCTCAAGCTCATATCAAGGATCGTAAAGGCAGCAGTCGAGAAGCAGGGACTCGTAGTTACCTACTGGCCAAGCCGGCCACCCGACCTGAAGAATAAAATACGAATGAAAAGAGGCTAGGAGGCCATGCTCAAAAATGTTATCCTAGAATAAAGATGCGAAATTTGCTCAAATTCGGACAAATTTTAACACAATGCTGCTGACTATCATCTAATCATGGACACAACTACTTCTGCAGCCGTGATCAAAAATTTGGCGACTTTGGTGAAGCTCGCGTATTTGCCACTAATAATTGGTCCATTACTGTACGATTACATGAACATAACTCTGTACTATGTCCCAAAGCAAAACGAATTTCGATTTCGTGGTCTTCATGATATACTCAAGTTTCATACAGTTTGAATAGGTCGAAAAAAGTTACGATCAAGCGACTGTATCGTCGAGAAATTGAGCACTACTAGGTATAGACATGTATTGTATATATATGTATGTATATGTATGTGTATTATATGCATATATATTATATGTTTACGTCTTGTATTTGTATATTCACCAGTCGGCTCGCCCGTTCTCTAATTTGACGAAAAAATTAGAAAATGCTGTTAGAGGGAAGCATCGCTTTTATCCAACATTGAGGGCTATAGTACAAAGAAGATGGGGCGGTGACCATACCTGTGTTCAGATATGTTTCTAGGCTAAAGAGTGTAGTTGTTACCAAAGCCTCAGGAAGGGAGGAGCGCCAAGGTGGGGGTGAGATGATAACCTCGTGCAAAAAGTTAGGATGGGGTATAGTTGAACATTCGATTGACTCAACCACTCCGCAGCTTTTTCCTCCCGATTTTTAGGTCGAAAAACTGTATATTCTAGGCAAAGAAAAGCTTAACCCTTTGACGACAGCGCACCTTTTTGCGTGCCTGGCGCGCGGGACAGACGCATTTCGGAGCTTTCCGCTTCCGCGACTCACCGTTGAGCCGCGTTGTCCCACGGGTTACACATTTTCCTTAAGTGAATATTTTTTGCTTTTTTTCATGTGTTCTTTTCATGATTCAGTTTGAAATAGGTGTAAATTGCGTAATTATGAGTTTTTAACTTAAGCTGGGTTTGGTTTTATGCATAATATAGCTTTGAGAGTCGAAATTTATCAGCCTGCACTGGGCGATTTAGATGGTGGTTTTGAAAGGTTGTTGGCCGAACCCGACGAAAATAAAATTGAAGAATAAACGTTCCAAGCTGTGTTTAGAAGGTGTACACATGGGGGGGGCTAAGATTTACTCAAGGTTCAGATTCAAGATTTACATCGGTAGTCAGCCCACGAGCAAGGATTCAGCAGCTGTGTTTGCTGTGGTCATGACTAATAGACGGACTTTTGAATTGAGGATACATCTCTATACCGATATCTAGTGAATGTCTTATTGGTTCATAGCACCCTTTTTCCGACACTCGAAAAGGCGAAAAGGAATGCTAATTGAAGTTGTAGGTAGGAAGATAAAAAGAGGGCAAGTTTTCGAGTAATTTGTTACAAACAACAACTATCCTATCGAAGTGTTTACGCTTCCACAAGACCAGTCCATCCTAGGGGCACAGATGTCTAAGTCATACATTCAGTGTTTTCACAAATGCACAAAAAGTGGGATTTCCAGGGAGAGAATGGAACTTATTAGTAATTTTCAGTAACTAGCAATGTTTCTCTTGGCCCACTTTGTGTATAGTGTTATTTGGTGACTGCAAACCCATTAAATACAAAAAACTCGAAGTAAAACTAATAATCGAGAAAAACAACCAATGAGAAGGGTGCGGTCCACCGTTGAGCCGCGCTGTCCCACGCGACCAAAAATCCGTGGCTCACCGTTGAGCCGCGCTGTCGTCAAAGGGTTAAAGGCACAGTTCACGATTTTTAGGTATCCTGTTTTCGACAGAAAATATAGGTAGGTATGGTACGGCCTACAATAGTACAATGGTAAAGCAGAAAACACGAAAAACAAAACATGAGTAAAAAGAAATCCAAAGCTGCAAAAAAGAAGAGAAAAGGGGGTTGGACGAGTTACACGGCTAAAAAGCGGGGGTTAAGGGAATTTTCGGGCGAATCAGACGAACGCGGCGCAGTATCTGCAGTTGCACACGACACACCAAAACAGCTGATTTTGGCTTCCTCCTGAAAACCAATTATTCTCCTGCTGCTGTTAAGCTGAATTATGTTGCAGAATCAATTCGCCGGGACGAAAAGGTAAGTAAATTTGATTATATTCATGTTTTTACAGGGAAATTTTCTTCTATATGTTTTTATTTCGTTGAATTTTGTTGCTCTATTGATTTCGTGCTAGTATTTTCAAACTTTTTTTTTAATTTGCCATGTATGTTCTTCATTTGGGGTCATTGATGTGTTCTTGTGTCATTGATGTGTTCTTGTGCAATGTCAAAAACACCCTTTGACTCTTTTTTAAAGAATTATAATCAAATAGATATTAGCATGCCAACCCCCTTCTTTCCCAACATTAGTGAAAAATCTTGTTGATTTTCCACTAAGATTGGAGCGCGTAATCTGCGATGCCGGAATTTTTTTAATTATTCACGTTTGCCACCCACTTTCTTCAGTCTCAATGCAATCCTGTTCGTCTCTGATAGAGAAGGAATTATTTCAAACAATCAAGTCTAATGACCATAAAAACGAAAAAGAAACAGAAAGAGTCAATCAAAACAATCAAAAAGAGGGAAATCTAGGAGAGATATGGTGCTCTGCTGAATACGGTAGTTTGCAGCCGCGAAACAACTAAAAAGATTTGCCGCACGCCGCAAAGCAAACGTGGAAAATCTGGGAGGAGTTCCGGCACCCATCGGTTTCTGGCTTGACCTAAATATTCCGAAAATGAATACCAAGCTAACAAAAAAACAACATCGAGAAATTGAACGTCATCAAGCTCTTAGAAAGCCCGGAGGTGACGGGGAAGGCGTTGGTCTCGGCACACAGCTCGGATTGGTAGGCGATGGATGGGTAGTTGAATCTACCTATCCACCGTAGACGCCTTTCTGCAACTCCTTTTGAAGACTGTTCTGGTTCTTGTGTTGTGCGATCTAGCACATGTTTTTATTTCCGACGCCCAGGACAATGTCGGTCCTCCTTGTGGTTGCAAAATTTAAACATCGCAACACGAAAACCACACGGTACTAGTTAGAGTTGCCGATCATGGGTAGAGCAGGTCCAAGGCGCCGCGTCTGTTTATCCGTTTGTACGGAAATTCGATATCATCTAATAAAGCACCTGCAGAAGTTCAGAGCCTACGGATGAGCGGTCGTGGACATACAGTACTCGCCGTAAGAACTCAAATATTTACGAGAACACCGCGAGTTCGCGCCTTTTTCGTCTTTTCTTCATAAATCGCTTCAAAATAAATTAGTCGAGGAGGCAAAATACCGTTGAACTCAGCTCATCGAGCTCTACAAGATGATGCCCTAAAATTAAAATGTTGAAAATGCTTTATTTTGGATTGCGCCATGCACTTGAGCCTCATCCAAAACGTGATTGCCTGCACATGGGGTGCAAGCTTTAGTGCTTGTAGGGGCTCAATGGTCCCTGAAGATGATCTGTTCAGAATTTGCTTTGGATTGCGCCACGTACTCGACTTCACTCAGTACAATGTGAAAATGATTGTTGGTTTTGTTTGGTCTCCATCGTTCCTTTTTTGGTTTGGAGGATGTAGATGATAGATGATCTACGGCCTCTACACTCAACATTCCTCTTACGGGCTTCATTGGCTGGCCGAAGGAGGCAGTGTTAGGGGGAGGAGGGAGGCAGACAGATAGGCAAACAGTCCACGCCCCTCCGAGGGGTTGAAAACAAACAACCTTCGAAGGGGCCTTATACTGTCTGCCTCCCTCCTCCCCCCTAGCATTGCCTCCGCCGGCACGCCGGCCGGCCGGCCGGCCGGTGGACTATGAAAGCAGCCGTTGAGGATATGACATCAATTTACGGCAAAATAGCGAAGTCGATTTTTTTTGGCATTTTTCCTTTTTTGGAGGAATTTTTCTGCGGAATCTGAGGAGAAGGTGTTGAGGCACTTCACTGACATCTCTTCGTTGTCTGCAAGCCTGTAATTGCACACCCTATCATAGACAAAATGTCTCCCTTTGTATGGCCCCAAACTACGAACTTCGTCAAGCCCAAATCGTAGAACAATGTTTTTTCCTTTTACGCTAGCCTTTTTGTAACTCAGTTGTACACTGTTGGATTCCCCGTGAAAAATGCTATCGAATGATATATAGGTCAACCCGTGACGAAGACCTCCCTCCACAACGACTTTCTGCAGCAGGCCTGTCTCTGAGCGGTTTCCTGCAGGGCGTGTTTGAATACGCATGCGGCCGGGTACTGTAGTGGCGGGAGTTCGAAGGCTTTCGAATGATAATTATTCGAATATGGGATTAGATCTGCTGGTGGCGGGGTACTGAAGTGGCGAGAATGGGGGTTGGATCGATCAATGATTACTTTAGTGGGGGTAAGATCCGCAGGGGACGGGATAATGTAGTGGCGGGAAAACGGGGCAGTTTGAATAGGAGTTTTGAGAATATGTGAAGGAGCAGTTTCCATCGTTCATTTATAATATGGAGGCTGTGGATAAGTGCATCTACGGTCTCTGCACTCAACACTCCTCCTTACAGGTCCCATTGAGAATATGACATCAATACAAAGGATAAAAGGATAAAGTTTTTGGCGGTAGTCAATCCCGTCTGAGGGATGCGAACCCGCACTCGACCTCCATTCAGAATCGTAGTGGCGTAGTGAGTGCGTATGTGACCTACATATGTATATAATCACTTGCGGTGGCCTGCCGATGTACAAGTTAGTGCTTTTATCCTCGCAGACGAGTCTGGTACCAATTCACCGACCCCGGAGGGATGAAAGGCCTGGTTGGCCTAGGCGGGCATCGATCCGGGATCCGAACCCCTGACCGTGCGTGTGATATTGTGCGCCACTTGCCACTACACCACCTCCGCCCTATGACATCAATTTACAGCAAAATAACTGAGTCCATTTTTTGGCATTTTCCAATTTTTGGAGGAATTTTTCTGAGGCGGCAGCGAGGCAATCCACTATTGTAGACTGCTCTTTGAGTACTGCGAGGCTGCTGTGGTACACCTTATCAAAGGTCAACAGTTCTCTCTTGGTATGGCCCCAAACTTCGCTTATCGTCACCGTCATCGACAATGCCAAAAAAATCGACTTCGCGATTTTGCCGTGAATTGATGTCATATCCTCAATGAAGCCTGTAAAGAGGAGTGTTGAGTGCAGAGGCCGTAGAAGCAGTCATCTACAGCCTCGAAACCAAAAAAGGAACGATGGAGACTAAACAAAACCAACAATCCTTTTCACATTGTACTGAGTAAAGTCGAGTACGTGGCGCAATCCGAAGCAAATTCTGAACAGATCATCTTTAGGGACCATTGAGCCCCTACAAGCACTGAAGCTTGCACCCCATGTGCACGCAATCACGTTTTGGATGAGGCTCAAGTGCATGGCGCAATCCAAAATTAAGCATTTTCAACATCTTAACTTTAGGGTATGATCTTGTAGAGCTCGATGAGCTGAGTTCGACGGTATTTCTTCTTCTTGATTAATTTATTTTGAAGCGATTTATAAAGAAAAGACGAAGAAGAGGCGAACTCACGGTATTCTCGGAAGTTTTTGAGTCCTCACGGCGAGTACTGTACAATGCATGCATAAGCATGAATACCCAAATGAATACTGAATTCGCTCACTTCTCGCTACTAATTTCCTTTTCATTGGAGAGTGCTATAGTTCCTTCCGGATGAATCACGGTAATTGACCATTGGGCTTTGTAAGCTGGTTCATCGAAACAGGGAACCACACGCCGAGCATAGATTGCTTTCAGTTGAGCAACAACACCGACTCTAAATTATGATTTCATCATTAACGAAAAATCAAGCGAAATAAGTTAACCTGGCATACGAATCTGACCAAAGGGTAGAATGTTTTGCGATTGGCTTCTGCTTTTACACTACTTCATATACATTTGTATAGTACGTACTACACTCTCTGCACGAATACGCCTGTATATTGCATTACTGTCACTATCTTAATGTCAATTAGAATTTGGGCCGATAAATAGAATATCAAGCTGGAAAGAATTATGGTAGTACATTCTCTATTTATAACTTATTTTCTCTTACAGAAAATAGTTCGAAAGTGATGTAACTCCTTTTTTGATAGAGCATCTTCCACAATGCACCAATTTCAATATATTGATAATCAAATCCCTCGACTCTAAACCCCATGGCAACTTCTTCAGGAAAAATCAAGTCGAAAACCAAGTTCAACCCTACAAGCACATAAAAATCACATCATTAGAAATGTGACCGACTATTTCCTTTAACGAAGCAATTTAATTTGGATACCGGCAAGCGTAGTTTTTCTGCTGGCTGAACATGCTTATTTTCGAGCTGTAAGTTCAACCAAATTTTTGATGATTGTTTAGGAAGTATTTTCTTTCTCAAAGTGGAATCCTCCCAAAAGGTTGACTGAGACATGAACGTGACCTATTCTAACTGAATAATAACGTTAATTCATAAGTACTTCGGCACAAGATCGCCGCGGTGTGATTAAAAAATTTGTTTCATTTTGCGATTTCGTCGTAGGTCTAATATTTAATTATGTAACCACGCATACTGTGCTGGTTTTGCAAGGTCTGTCTACGCGGGAGATGAATTTGACGATCGACAAAATTTAGCATGAAACGAACGGTAGCTCACGGGTCAACCTTAGCACAAAAGAAAGCTCAAACTTGGGTTTATTTTTTGTATTTATAACATTCGAAACAACGTGATTACATAGCACGAAGAGAGAAACAACGTGATTACATAATATAAAGGAAAAGGAGATCATCTCCAGTGAATAGGGCGTCGGAGGGGACGTCTCTATTCTCAAATAGGACTGAGAGCTCTGGCATTACAGTATAGCTGATATAGAAAAACGTGAGCAGAATGAAAGAGCAGAATGAAATCTGCTAAAGCATTTGGGAGAAAAGTGGACGAACTTGTTAAAGTGGAAATTGTTTTCTTCATTTATTTGGATGCGAGCAAAATGCAACGACAAGTGAGGTCATTGTGAAGTCCGGAAGGAATAAATTGAATGAAGAGGTTTCTACCAACAGGCAGCAATATGATGTTAGAATCGATAAAACTAAAAAAAACCGAGAAAAAAAAACTCAGGCCTCAACGGGTTAGAGCATTATCATGCAGTTACTTGAACAATGTGCATTGCAAGACGAATGACATCAAAGAAAATAAAGGAAATCAAGGACCTGGAATCCGGCGTGTCGAGAGGAGCACTGGTAGACGTAGGGTCCGGCGCATTGAGGAGTGTTGGCTTTTGGACCGTTTTCGGTCGTGAGATTAGATAATAAGGGCAGAGCGTGGAGAAGGGTGCGCGTCGACTGTAGGTCGTAGATCAAAAGAGGTGCTCGATTCTGAGCACACACGCTTTTGGTCACTTCCAAACTATTTCTCGGTCCAATGTCACTCAATTGCAACTATTAGGAAGGAGGGCGGAGTGTCCACAAATCGAAAAACTCATTGGAAATGTATCAACTACTTTTTATTGATATATCACTGAACAGTTGTGTAGTAGGTTTTTTTCGAAGTCAATTGTCGTTACATCCTTAAGATGGCGAAGGATCATGTAATGCAATTTGCGATCGTTAGAAGTCATAAATTATGAAACCGGGAAGGACGTCGCTAAATCAGCTTCAGTCTCCGTGAGGACTTTAGACCTCTTGAAGGAGAGTGAACATGATCAAGTACTAAAAGATAAGCACGTCGGTACTAAGAAAGATATAAGCATCCTCTCAGATGCAGTGATTAAGTTGCTTGAACTGATCGTAATTCACAGAGGGCAGCCAAAGAGTTGCATTATCGAACCGTATGCAGAATGGCCCGAGCAAAAGAAGAAAGAACACCTTGAGGGATGAATATCCATTGGCGAAGCTTCTGATGGCCCTCATCCATCGCCGTCTCATAGAATTGATGATGAAGCAGAAATTCATAGAGTATTTCGAAAGGTCAAGTTGATCACGTGCGTGATGATGGCTTACGAGACTCCCCACTATCAAAATAATGAGAAGAGAAACTCTTGAGAGAGAGAGTATAGACATTGTATAGACTTGATGTTTCATTAATTGCTGTTATTTCGCAGTACTACGTGGTACGACAGTTTCTCAAGGTTGGCACGTTTTGAGCAAATCTCTGGGTCTTTTAAGGACTCGAGCCCGCGCTTGAGTTATTTGGACACCGTACTCTTTATCCTCACACTTATGAGATCCTACTCCCCCTCACTGCTTTCTAACTCTCACCAACCTTGTAGGACTCCTGAATTGTGTACAGCGACGGAATAACAGCAGTTAGCAAAGTATATAGTCAAAGCAGTTCATAACAGGAAGCACTGGGCACTGTTGGGTTATAGCATAAATGCCATTAAGAAGGCGAAGGCAAGCGGGGTCGGGATAGTGTAAGGGGTAAGGATCACTGTGCCAGGATAGCACAAGTGCAGATTCAATTCCCGTCATAGATCGAAGTTTTGCAGACAAATTTCCAATCTTGTGAGTATGCACTGTGCCTACAACCTTATGTAGTGCATGCACGTCCTTAACCATAAATTTGAAAAGTCATCTCTCCTCTAGACAGCGTTACTAAGATAACTGACACATGGCAGTCGGAGAAAGCGTTTTATGTTTACGACCGCCGAACGGTTCTCCTTTCCCTTGCACAGTATATCCTACATATGACTAATAAAAGCGAACAATAGGGCGAATCGCTCAAAAGATGCTGCGTCATCAAAATGGATAACGTACACGGACATGAATTACAACAAGCGGCAACTAGCTAAAGAGAATAAATTTGTTTGTTGTTCTAGTTCACTTTTTACAGCTACCTTGTCTGGCAGACTATTATTAACCGTGGGGCTCATTTGTGAATCGTCATGTGAAATTTTCTAAATGGTGTATTCATAGGATGTCAACGAATCCCAGTTTGGACGAATGACTGTATTCCGGATGCGGCCTGGCACGTTTACGGAAGGACAGGGCCACAGCTCACAGGGACAAAACATTCGAGTGTGGTGCCGATGCGATCTGCTCAATCTCATCACTGAGGGAATGAGCGTTCTGCTTGCCCCCAGTTTAACTTTCTGTAGCCATCTATCGAGAGCAAGATTCGTAGAGTTTGTCATTATATAATAATTTCGAGCCACTGATCGAAGTCTTGGAGAAACCTGGGATCAATTAACTAAAACACGTTTGCATGTCAGGTTTCACAAGGGCAAGAAGATACTTAGGGCTGCTATGCATAGGTGCCCTAAGTATCAGTAGGGGGGAGGGAATCTGAGGGATGCATGCTCCTTGCCAAATATTGTAAACCAGGCGGCTACGCACGCTATCGCGGCCGCTAGGTCCTCTACCCACGGAGCCACGTGAGCTGATTTTCATTCATTCATTCATTCTTTATCGGACTTATAAATTTCTGCTCAAACTCCGCCTCCTGTGGGCAGAGTCTGGTCCTGCCACCCACCAAAGTGTTCCCACCATGCCGCCTGTACTCCTACCAAGTTTGAACTTTCTCGGTCCACGGGGTTAGGATCTGTGAGTCACCGCTCAAACCCCGCCCCCTGTGGGCGGCGTCTGGTTCTGCTGCCCACCATAGGTGTTCCCATTCTGCCCCTCGTACTCCTATCTAATTTGAACCCTCTAGGTCCGTGAGAACCGGAGTTATGAACTTTCGTATATAAATGTAAGAAGGGATGTGAGCATCGAGGCAAGCTCTGCCCATTGTGGGGCGGGCCTCCGCTAACGTCATTTATGCTGGAGACACCTCCGACAATGCTTCTCCCATTTCAAGTTCTTCCTGCTCTGTTGGAATTCTCCAAACCGAGTTATAAATGTCTTTATAAAGCATTGCATTTTTGGAGAACGCCCCTCCCATCGGGGGTGGGTCTCCCTAGTTTGATATAACTTACCAGCGCACATCTCTAGTCACCTTTGAACCCCACTTTTGAAGCCGTCTTGTAATTGTATTTGAAAACATAGTCCTCAGTCCAGCCGATGTCGATGCATGCCGCGCCCACTGTGGGCGGGCTCCGCCAAGCTGATGTGTGCTTTGTACTTCTCGAGCGTCGAGCGTCGAGCGTGGGATGGGTGGGACGTAGCCCACTCATCCCACGCTCGATGCGGTCTCTCCAGGCAAATCTAAAGGAGCTAAGGAGTTTCGTGACAGACCTACTTACAGACGGACAAACAGACAGACAGTCGAAGCGCTTTATATGTAGTAAGTAGGATGAAATTGTGTACAAATGCAGTCACACTGCTCCGCTTAGACGAGACAATGGT